GGGCCACGAGGAAAAGGCAGTCAGTGGACTCCTTCCGGGTCCAACCCAGGATGAGGTGCCACCTCATCTCAGAGAGTAGACATTTCCAGATAATTGAGAGGTTACCTTTAAGTACAATTTCTTTCAAGACTCTGAAGTGAATTATGTGTTAACTCAAAGCCATTGGCTATGACAAACAACCCACTGTGCCTAGCTCTGTGTGGGTCTAGCTCTAGACCCACCGTGTCTTCTAAACAGTGAGCAGAGCCTGGTGGTAACCTGGGGCTGTCTTGGGCAACCCCAGGTCTCTGGAGTCCATCCCTGCCTGGGTGGGACCTCTCTGAGGGCCTGAGAAGCAGAGGCCGAGCCAGATGACACACGGTTAGAACAGGGCTCTGAGTGATCCTCCCTCGGGACAGGCCACTGACCGCTCCCACCTCCCCCAAGAACATCCTGCGTGGTCCTAGGCTCTGGTGGGTAGGTCTGCCGTGACAGACGCGCACCCAGCGGGCTCAGGCAGCCAGACCAGCATCCTCTCGCCCCACCTCCCCTGTCCGCGCACGCCCCTCTGCGACAGACCCTGGGACGAAGCACGTACAGAGGAGACCGCACTGCGGGCTGCGGGCCTGTCGGCTGGACTTGTGATCCCGGTTCACTCAGAGGAACCTGGTTGTTTTTAACGTGATGTGACCTGAAACTGTCTCGCGCCTCGTGGCGCAGAGAGGCTGCTGAGCCTTCTGAGGAGCCCGGGTTCCAGTGGGAAGGAGAAGGCCTCAAGGGCAGCCCTGGGCTGCCCCAGGGTGAACAGAGGATGTTTTGGGGTAAGGGCTACCTTGTCCAAGCCCCAGCCTGTGGCATGTTCCTTGTGCAGAGCTGACGCTTGGGCATTTGAACAAGGAAAAGACGTGCCCCGTGCTACACCCTCCCCGAGAGCCCCTCGGGGGAGCCCCACCCCCCAAGGGCCTGGTGTGCCCTGAGGGGTCGGCCATGCCAAGGACGGGGCTGGGGGCCGCCCAAGCAGCTCCAGGGAAGCCAGGGTGCTATGCGCCCTCGCGCCATCCAAAGGGCAGGGACGTGGCTCTCCTATGGGCCCAAGACAGCCCTGCCCTTGGCTGGCCCCACCTGCAATGAGTCCTTGACAGGTCCTGCTGCCTCTTGGGGCACACAGGCTTGTGCAGGCCCCGAGAAGCAGTAGCAGAAGGGACCCTGGGCAAGGGGAGAGGGTGCTGGCGGAGCCTGGATCGGGGACAGCAGTGGATATGGGGAAGGAGCAGGGGATGTCACAGCATCCCTGCCCCTTACAGGAGGGTCAGAGCAGAAGGAACGCTGGGGACTGCCAAGTGTTAGCCGTCAGAGAAGCCTCTCTGGGACACCAGGGATCCGGGCAGGCCCAGCTACGACCAGCCCAGTTCCTGCCCACGAGGGACACTCCAGGTACCTGCCTCTGTGTTTCAGGGGCCAGTGGGGACCTGCTGGTGGTCTCCCCCAACCCAGCAAGGCTGGCCCAGCTTCTAGATGGGTCACCTGCACACACTGCTGCACTTGAACCCTGGGCCAGGAGGGGCAGATGAGAAGAGGCTGACACCACAGGGTCAGGGTGGGGAGGGCTGGGAAGGGGAGGTCTCTCGACACCACCCTCCCCATGCCTGCCAGTGCCATGGGCTACTGGAGGAGCACAGGTGAGTCACCCTTGGTCAGAGCCCCCCCTTCCTCCTCTACTCAAGCAGGTCAGGTAGCCTCCATGTTCTCATCTGTAAAATGGGGCTGATCCACCCACTTCATGAGAAGGCACACAGCATGGCTCCCAATCAGGAAGGAGGCAGACACGGAGCTGCCCAATGCAGGGCTGCCTTCCAGGCCAGCAGGCCTCTGCCCCAGTGTCCCTGAGCTGCTGTGAACCGTGGAGATGCCGCCTATTCAGTCGCTGACTCAAGCCTCATGCCTAGCTGTGGGGCACCAACAGATACTCCACACCTGACTGCTGTGGGAGCATTCACACAGCAGCCCTCAGGCTCTGCCTTGCACATCTGATGCCCAGCCATGGCCTCGACCTGGCATGAGCGTGGCCACCGAGCCCTAGCTGGACCTCAGACATGAGGCTGACTGGTGGACGAAGGCCCTGCTACGGCCCACCCCCACCACCGAGACACTAATTCAGTCTCCTTGGGCCCTGGGCCTCCTTCACCAGGGCCCCGTCTCACCTCCAGGTTGAGAGAAAGCCAACCAATCCACTGATGCCAACCTGCCCAGTGCCACCCACAGGCCCAAAAGGGCTGCACTCAACACTCGGCCGCAGCAGCTCCCCACAGCCCTGCCTCTTGTGCCTTCCCACCTCCTCCCCAGCATCCTCCCCCCACCATCCGTCCACCACCCAGCCCTGGCCAAGGCCTGATGGACCATGAGCCCCTTGCAGAGGAAGGGACTGTTCACTGCCTGTGTGTGGGCCTGGGCAACTCTGTGGGGACCCTGTGGGCGGAAAGGTCAACTGTGCAGGACATTCCTCTACGGACGTCCCCAGGGAAATGCCCCCGTCCTAAGCACGGCCTGCATGCACAGTATCCGTGTGGACAACAGGCTGGTCAGGCCCAGGGCCTGCCTGTCGGGTGTGCACTGAGCCACTCACAGGTTCCCGCAGATACCAGCGCTCCACCACGCCTGGCATGCCACCAGCGGGGATACCACCCCACTCCCACATGAACGCCCTGTGCACTGGCTTCCCCAAAGCCTGGGATAAGCAGACAGGAAGACTTTCAATTAAAAAGAAAGCTCACCTACTTCCTTTTGCAACCCAGAGGTAATTACTGTATAATCAACAAGGAGGAGAAGAAAACTAACAAGAAACCCGAATCAGAGTTCAAGGTAATGTGCAGTTTGGGTACTGCTGTGGGCTGGCCTCCTGGCATGCCCAGAGCGGTGAGGGTGGAGGGACAGCAGGCAGGAAGCCCCTCAACACGCAGAAAAGTCCCACTACCAGCTGGGCCAGGTGAAGCCAGACCACCGCAGACCCTGGAGGAATGGGGACAGAGCCAGCCCCTCCCAGGGCTCATCGAACCTGCCCACTGTGCGGTCCTGCGGACCCCCAGCTGGCTGGCAGAGGACTGGCTCCACCAGTGTGGCTGGCACAGCTCACCGTGGGGGGTCGACCACAACATGGTGGGCCATGGAGACAGACGCAGCCCACCAGCGCTGCCAGACTGGCTCCTGGGTGCTGCCCACCTTGGAAACTCATCAGTCTGCCTGGCCCAGGCTGCGGCGTTTCATTTTGGTGGAGACGCAGTGGAAAACAAAGCAAAGTAACGGTGACAACCGCGAACTTCCCCCTTTCAAACCTGTGGGCCGAGTGCACAATCTGTCCCTTCACAGAGGCCCCGGGCAGGGTAGGGGGAGCCCAGGGTGCTCCCATCCCCAGCCACCCCCACACCCCCTTTCCTGATGGGAGCAACTTCCCGCAGCCGGCGGCTGGGTTTTCCCCCCAGACCGGAGCCTTCCTACTTTCCTACTCATCTCTCACACCCACGAGCCCGCAGAGCCTCTGGGGGCCAGGAAACACCGAATGAGGCTCCTTCATGCCCGGGGGTGGGGACGGGAGACCCAGGAGCCAGAGGCCCGCCAGATGGACGTGCGACAGACACCCCCAGAGCCCAGACACTGGCTCCACCGCAGGGCAGACAGGGAGAAAATGTTGGACTCCACCTACACAGACACCGCTCCAGTGTCTCCCACAAACAATGCCATCCGGAGGCCGGACTAATGAACCAGCTGCCCCCAGAGCCGCGCAAGCCCCCGGCGCCACCTCCCACAGCCAAAGTCTCCCCCGAGAAAGTTGGGGCGATAGGCCGGGCTCAGACGTCTCACCCTCCCTCCTAGCCCGTGTGTTTCCGGAAAACAAAGCCGGTGGCCAGAGCGGAAGGGGGAGGGCGCAGCGAGCCCAGCCGGGAGTTCCCGAGCAGGCCCCGCAACAGGTCCCTCCGACCAGACCCCTCTGCCCCAAGCCCCCCGGCTCTGCCCCTTAACAGCTTCAGCACCACGGAGCGGGGAGGGGGAACCAGCGCGGGGAGGGGCCAGTCTGAGGCCAGAGGCGGCAAGGGGACAAGGTGGGCAGGGGGCCGGGGTGGAGAGCAGGCGGTGGGCGAGAGCGCTGGGGGGAAGGGAGCAGGCGGGGCTACGACTAAAGGGGTCAGCAGAGGGCGGCAGGGTGGGATGCGGGGGTCACTGGGGTGGCAGGGTCCTAGGCGTGGGGGTCAGCGTGGGGCGGCACCGGGGGTCTAGAGCTTGGGGTCGGCGGCGTACCGGGTCGGCGAGGTGTGGGGGGCGGTGGGGTCTTGAGTATTGGGATGAGGGCGCTGGGGTCTGGGGCGCAGGGTTGGCGCAGCCCGAGCGTGCGGGTGGGGTCGCCAGGGTCGGGGGCTGGGGGTCCCGGGCGCGGGGGCGGGCGCGTGGCCACGGCGGCCGGCGAGCGCGCGCGGCGCGTTACCTGGCTCCGCTGGCGGGCCGCGGCGGCGGCTGGTGGCCGGATGGCCTCAGCAGCGCGCGCGGCCCCGGTCCGGCCGCGGCCGCTCGCGCTCCGGCGAGCTCCGGCGCCCGCTCGGGCCCCGCTCCGGCTCCCGCGCCGCCTGGCCGCCTCCGCATGTTCGGGGCGCAGGCGCCGGTCGCCGCGCTCCGCCGCGCCCGCTCCGGGCCCGCGCGCCTTACGCCGCCAGCGTCGGCCAGCGGGCGGCGGCCGTACGCGCCGCCACTGCGCGGCCGCGGCTGGGGCGCCGGGCGCCCGCGCCGTGGCGTCACAGCGCGGGGCGGGGCCTAGGCTCGGCCCGGCCTCTCGGGCGGCGCTTTGCGACAGTGGGAGGTGCCGCGCGACGGCCGCCGCGCTTTGCGGCGGCTCCGGGAGTCTCTGGGCCGCTGCCCGCGGAGACACCGGAGGTGCGCGATTGCGGGGACGTGTGCGGGGTTGGGAAAGGGCAGGGAGGTTTTTCACACCGTTATAGGGGCGGAGCTTCGTTTCCCCCGGCCCCGCCCCGCCGTCGCCATGGAGACGCGTGGCTGGTCGCCCTGGCACCGCCCGCTGCGTGTGTGACGTCACGGTCTCGCCACTTGACGTCACGGGCGGGCGGTGCCGCAGGCTGGGAGGTTTCCGGGGCAGGCGCAGACCGGGGCGGCCGGCCAGGAAATGGGCTGGCTTGGGGCAAGACGGTTTTTCCATCTGGGTTTCCTGGGCCAAGATGAAAAACCGGGTCGAGAACGATGGTTAGTGCCCGATGAGCGCAGGGTGGTGGCCTGGGCTCTCAGTGTCCTGGCTAGTCGTGACACAAGCAAGGAGCAGAGGAGAGGGGTGACCCAAGGCCCGTGAGGCCCCGTCCCCAGAGTCACACAGGGTGACTGGCCAGTCCTGCCGTGCCTGTCGGGCCTGCTCATGCGAGAGACGCTTGGGGTGGACGCCGCTGGCCAGGGACCCCCATTGTGGCCTCTGATCCATCCCAGGACAGGGCCTGGGGCGGGGGCAGCTGCAGAAATGATTCCTGGCCTCCCCCGCATTCTCCATGCACCTCCCCGGTGAGGCATTTTTAAAGTTGGGGGAGACACATCCACTCAGATATGTGTGTATTAAGTGCCTGCCAGCGGCTCTGAGAATAGCACAGTGAGCTAGACTCTTGGCACAGTCTCCGGGGAGTCCTCGGTCCCGCAGGGCGGGGAGCTCGACAGATGATTTCAGATGGTGATACAAGGTGGTGTGTGGCTGAGTCCCCCAGGGAAGGACACCTTGTTTGGGCAGATGGTCAGGGAAGGCCGAGCCCTAAAGACTAAAAGCAGATACGATAAGACTGGGAGGACGATTCCATGATCTCCCATGACAGTCCTGCACTCAAGCCAGATGGGGCCGCAGAGAAAAATCCTGGACGAGAATCCAACTGGAATGCGAAGGCTGAGGGTCAGTGTGTTTTAGGCCACACCAAACCTTCAGAGATGCAGGTTCTAGGTCTCTTTATGTAGCCATGTGATAGGCAGGCAGTCCCCCCTTGAAATGTCACTCTTTGAGGAAGCCCAAGCCACCTTCCCAGTTATCCTTCCCACTGCATCGGGCACTCTCATCTGCACTGCAGTGGAGCAGTGTTTGCTTAGCATCAGTGTCCTCCAGCTGTGCCCACTGGACCCAGCCCCAGGCCTGGCACACAGGAAGTGCTCAGTATGTGGTAAATGAATGAATGAATGAGTGAACTCCACAGCCGCCCTCCCTGAATTTTCAGAGTTCAGGTTTTATTTATTCACGCTTCCCTGCCCCATCTCTACTCTCCTGTTCTTTTTTATTTTATTTTATTTTATTTTTCGCTTCCTATCTGCAATTGCTTTCTCGTTCTTAACCTCCAGGGACACCTGCTCTCAGGCACTCAATCCCATGGAGGGACACTGTGGCCTCAGCAGGAACTAACCCTAGACAGCAGGGACCAAGTGACTCATGCCCTGGGTGAAAATGCACATGACCTTGCTACTTCTCTGAATTCCAAGAACGAGAGATAATAATTCCCAGGAGGGGCCGGTGGGAGGATCTGCCCCTGTAGTTGCCCTCAGGCTAGTCCCTTGGCCTCAGCCTCAGCCTCAGCCTCATCTGTAAGAGGATGGAACTGGACACAGCCTGGACTGCCAAATTGGTTTCCCCCTGCCACTCGATTGATTGATAAGATTGGTGATGTCTGCCCTGTGCACAGGAAGGAGAATAACACTTGGGAATTACTGATGGATTGATCAATTGATTGGTGATATCTGCCCTGGGCACATCAGTGAGGAGGGTGGCACAGGTCAATTACCTACCTTCCTGAGACTAGGGGGGCTTCTGATGGCCCGTCCAGTTCCCAAATTCTCATGTCAGTGATTCTACCATTTTCCTCCATTTCCCCATTTGAAATAATTCTGGCACTTTCTGGAGATGCATGCAACAACCCTGGGTAGGGCACAAATACAGCCTTTAGGAGAAGAAGGCTTGAGTTTGCAGCCAGCAGTGGGACCCCTTCCTAGCTGGGGGTGGGGGGCAAGACTGAGTGCACAGAATGGCCCTGGGAGCCATGTTTGGGACACCAGGACCTGCCTCTTCACAAGGGCAGGGGAGCCAGGCAGAAAGGTGTCCCAGCCGGGCACGGTGGCTCACGCCTGTAATCCTACCTCTCTGGGAGGCCGAGGCGGGCGGACTGCTCAAGGTTCAGGAGTTCAAACCAGCCTGAGCAAGAGCGAGACCCCGTCTCTACTATAAATAGAAAGAAATAATTGGCCACTGATATAATAAAAAATTAGCGGGCATGGTGGCACATACCTGTAGTCCCAGCTACTTGGGAGGCTGAGGCAGGAGGATTGCTTAGCCAGGAGTTTGAGGTTGCTGTGAGCTAGGCTGACGCCACGGCACTCACTCTAGCCTGGACAACAAAGCGAGACTCTGGCTCAAAAAAAAAAAAAAAAGAAAGGTGTCCCAGACAATGTGTGTGTGTCCTCCAGCATCCTTGGAGTGTTTGTGTATGTCTATGTCCACATTTCCCCTTTGTAATGTCCCCCAGTCATGTGATCAGGGGCCCCTACTCTAGTAAGGCCTTTGACATGAATTTGGGGAGGGGGACAAAACTCAAGCCATAAGAAAATACAAACACACATGCCTACATAGACACACATGTGTGCAACCTGAACACAGATATGCACACTTAACCACAGATACACACATACAAGCACACAACACAGACACATGTGCAACAACACCCATGACTGTCCACCTGTGGGCAGGGTGAAGGCTTCCCCACCCCAGCTCCCAGCCTGGCTGCTGGGAGTTAGAAGGTTAATGTCTGGCTCTGTCACCTGCAGACAGACAACCCTAGCCAGGTCCCTACTGGGACTGAACCCCAACTGCCTGGAGCTGCCACCTGCTCATTTGTGCCTCCCCTGGGGTCCCACCCATCCCCACATCCCCCTGGTGCTTCCTGGGGTCTCAACCCAGTCACATCACTTGCCCTTCATCTTCCTCTCGGGGCCAAAACATCCTTTTGTGAGGAAGTGACTGTGCAGCAATGGCAAACCTGGCTGTCCCTGTGAAGCTGGACAGGGAAATTAGCAGAAAAAAGTGCCACTTATTCTCCCACCTTGTTTTGGGAAAATGTCATTTAAAAAAATGTTAACAAGGCCGGGCGCTGTGGCTCACGCCTGTAATCCTAGTCTTGGGAGGCCGAGGCGGGCGGATTGCTCAAGGTCAGGAGTTCAAACCAGCCTGAGCAAGAGCGAGACCTGTCTCTACTATAAATAGAAAGAAATTAATTGGCCAACTGATATATATATAAAAAATTAGCCGGGCATGGTGGCGCATGCCTGTAGTCCAGCTACTCGGGAGGCTGAGGCAGAAGGATCACGAGCCAGGAGTTTGAGGTTGCTGTGAGCTAGGCTGACGCCACGGCACTCACTCTAGCCTGGGCAACAAAGCGAGACTCTGTCTCAAAAAAAAAAATGTTAACAGATAAATTTGTTACTTTTAAATGAATTAACAAATGTGATCAAATTTTGTCTTAAATTCTAATACACTACAGATGCCCCTCAACTTAGGAGGGGATCGTATCCTGATAAACCTGTTGTAAGTTGAAAATATCTTAAGTCAAAAAGGCTTTTCTAAAGAGACAGGGTCTCACTCTGTCACCCAGGCTGGAGTGCAAAGGCATCATCAGTTCACTGCAGCCTCCAAGCCCTGACCTCAAACGATCCTTCTGCCTCAGTCTCCTGGGACTCCAGCAGCTGGGACTACAGTTAGGTGTCACAACCTGGCAATTTTATTTTTTGTAGCAATGGGGTCTCGCTGCATTGCCCAGGCTGGTCTCAAACTTCTGGGCTCAAGCGATCTTCCCACTCCAGCCTCCTGAATTGCTACCAATACAGGCATGAGCCACCGCACCCAGCCCATAAATGCATTTGATATACTAACCAGATTGTTAGCTGAGCTGTCATTATATCGGGGCCCACGTATGTAGGAAACCAGCTACGAGGGTTGGGCAGGATCCTGTCCTGGAGTCTCCGGAGGGAGCCTGGCCCCACAGACACCTGAGTTCAGACTTCCACCTGCAGGGCTGGGAGGGCGGGTTTCTGTTAGGCCGCTGTCCTCAGGAGTCCCTGGCAGCCCCAGGAGACTCACATAGGAACCTCTCCACCTCTCCGCAGCGTCTGCCCTGGGAGCTGCCGTCTCTGCACTGACTAAGGCAAAGCCTCCAAATCTGAACAGCCCCCCACACAGATGAGCTTCCTAGGGAACAGCAGGCTCAGACTAAGCCCTGCACATCCAATGTGATCCCGTCACTCCTTTGTTTTCTCTGTGGCAGAGGCAAACCTTGCCTTCTGTGCCCAGGATCTCATCCCAGCCAACTGTTCACGTTTTCACCAGGATGGCTGCTTTTCTATGCAGCCAGGGCTTGATCCTGCTATCAGATTAACAACAAAAAACCTCCATCAATGTTTCCAATTTCGTTGCTGTCCTTCATTTCCAGCCGTAACGATTTTGCCAGGTCGATCATTGCAGCTAAAGCAGTGGCTCTCAACGGGGGGTGGTCCCACTGGGCCATGGCTGGGGACATCTGTGGTTGTCACACTGGAGGACCTCCTGGCATGGTGTGGGTGGGGATCAGGGATGCTGCTCAGCACCTGCAGTGCCCAGGACGGCCCCTCCCCAGGGAATGGCCCAGCCACAGTGTCCACGGGTCCCAGTGACAGGAAGGCTGGCAGCTGGCACCTGGTGACAAGTGACAGGATCACCCTGCCCCTGCCCACCACCCTGTGATGAGGAAGTGCTGTGTCCCCAGCACGGCTCCTTGCGTTCCCTCTGCCTTCTGGATCATTCTGTGAGCCAACAGAGCCGATATCCTTTTCTTGCTGAAGGTTCCCCTCGACTGCACCCCTGGCGTGGAAGCCCACACCACCACCTCCCTTCCCACTCTTCTCACTGGGCTTCTGTGTCCCCCCCACCATGATACCATCCCTCCACCAAGGTCCTCACTCCAGCCTCTGTAGTGCCTGGCAGGGACGTCTCCTCTGGGCCACTCAGGTTTTCCTCCTACTCCACAACCCTGGCTCCTTCCCAGTAGCAGCTATGTGGTGGTCCCCAAAGAGGTATGTCCACATCCTGGCACCTATGACCTCATTAGGAGAAAGGGTCTTTGCAGACGTAACTAAGGACCTTGAGGTGCAATCACTCTGGACAATCAAGTGGGTCCCACATCCAATAGCCGGTGTCCTCCGGAGAGACAGGAGAGGTGGGAAGACGATTGCATGGAAACAGAGAGAGTTTAGAGCAACGTGGCCAAAACCCAAGGGTGCGGCGAGTTGGCTCACACCTGTGATCCCAGTGCTTTGGGAGGCTGAGGCAGGAGGATCCCTGGAGACCAAGAGTTTGAGACCAGCCTGGGCAACACAGCAAGACCCCATCTCTAGAAAAAAAAGTTTTAAAATAAAAACGTGAAGGGACAGAGGAGTGGTGGTGTGTGAGCGTGGTGTGCAGCAGGGGCCAGCCCGGTGTGCCATGTCCAGAATGTCTGGGTGACCCCCACCCCATGCTGCTGCTCAGGTCTAGACTTGTCTCCAGGGCCGGTGGACGGGGTGGGGTGACATCAGCACAGCACACAGGGCAAAGGCACCTCGATGCCCAGACCTGGGCTCAGGGACACAGGCTCATCCCGCTCTACCCTGCAGGCAGCCGGGTGCTCTGGGACCCTTCCTCGGACGAGATGACAGGTACGCATACAGGCTCACACAACACAGACTTGGCCCTGTACTCCATCTGATGCAGAAATATTTATTTCCAAGTATGTTCATGTAACAAAAACCCCCACATTGCTATGAGGGCCAAAGCGCAGCGGGGCGGGTGGGGACTGCCAGGTACCCTAAGACGTCTGCACCTGCCACCAGTAGCCCAGGGTAGGTTGACATGTGGCCTCCTGGCCAGCCGAGCAGGTGCCTCTTGGGGGTCAGCTGAAGGTGTCACATGAGGACACAGGCGACCCAAGGCACGGATCCTCGGCTGGCGGGTTTCCTATCCCGCTGCCTTCCCCCTAACCCGGGCTCCGTGGCCACCTTTGGGCACCAAGGGTGTTTGGCACAAGCAGCCAAAGCAAATGAGTGTGGGGCACATGGCGGGTGCTGGGAGGCCCCTGTCCTGCGGGGGATGTCGGGGGTTGGAGGGCAGTGGCCCAGGGTGCCCCAGGTCATAGCTGGTGAGCAACGAAAGGAGACTCAGCAAAGGCTTGTTTTTGGCCTGTTATCAAAGGTCCCATGGAAATGCTTGAGATGCGTTTTAGCTCTTTCAACTCAGACAAAATTGCCTTGTAGAGAGTTAGAAGGACTGAAAGACAATAGTGACGTTTGCTGAAATTCCTCGATAAGGCACAGAGATGTGTCACTTCTCAACTCCTTGGAAAAGAAGTTGGGCTTCGTCTCCTGAGAAACCGTGTCCACTTCCCACAGACTGAGAAAAAGGTTCTTCCGCTCCGATGTCTCAGCAGGAGGCTCTGGGTTCTGGTGTCACCCTCCTGTGCTGGGGATATGTGGCCCCATGGGCTCCATGGAGATGGCAACTGTTTTCCTCTAGGGTTGCTGGGTCTGGGGGAGCCTCTCTCCTCCACCACAGCAACTGGGTCCTGGATTTAGGGCACAGGCGCGTCTTGCCCAAGGTCACCGGCCAGAAAGGGGAGGGTGTCCCCACAATTACACCCTCAGGCAGAGGCGCAGGGAGAGCCTGGGGGGGCAGCACATACTCCGCCAGGCTGAGGGGGTGGATCTGCCTCTGGCCATCCATGCGCTGGTCGCCAAGGGCCGTCAAGACGCAGAGCGATGGGGACTTGGGAGATGACGAGAATATCAAAGACCAGGCCCCTCTGTCACCACAGGGGACAGAAAGCCTGGCACTGTGAGGCCGCCTCCTGGATCATGGTGGCTGCCCTGGTAACAGGGTGCAGGGCAGTGGGCGCGAGATGGAGCCGAGGCCAGGTCACTTCCACCTTCTCTGGGGGCTCCAGCAGGTCGGGCCTCTGTGACCAGGAGAGACAAGGCTGTGGCTGCCTCGAGGGGGCGTCAAGGTGACGTGTTTCCAGGATCCAGAGGGTGTTCTGCCAGGCAGTGCTCGCAAGGAGCTCTGCTCTGGGAGTGAGATGAACACAGGGTCCCTGGCCCCAACTGGGGCCCTCCTGGGAGGGCCATGGGGACAGACAGTCAGACTCTCTGGACAAGGCAGTGGAGGGAGGCAGTGGGCAGCGGCAGGGCTGGCTGGCGCCCTCTAGGGCCAGTGGCTGCCACTGGCCGGGTAGCTGGGCACAGTGGGGTACTCGGGGAGGCTGTTCCCTGAAAAGTTGTTGTATTGTGCCTCTCTTGATGGCGGGTTCCGCCAAACCCCTGTGTTCCACTCCGTCTGTGCCTTCTGGAAGCTTCCGCCACCCCCTCGGTAGATCCTGTGCACCTGCAGGGAAGGATAGGGAGTCGGGGTCAGAAAGTCAGTGCACCACGGGCACACATGTGCTCTCAAGCAAGGCTTATCTTCTTTCTCAAGTCCGCCCGTAAAAAGCCTCTCCCAGGACCACAGCCGCACTGACTCGTTCACCGGTGGTCTGCGGCTGCTTCAGGCCACAAGGACAGAGCAGTCGGCTCGGCCCAAAGGTGACACTCCCATCCCCTTGCTGCCATGATGTATCAGGGCCACTGGACACCCTCCCAACTGCTACACGCATGGTCACACTGTGACATTTTCATATCAATAAACACCTGTTTTTGAGGTACAGGGTAGTGTGGGTTATTTTGTACGCAGTCACACAGCAAAGCCGTGTAATTCTCAGATGAAACTGTGCTGAAAGATGCAACCTCAGCCTGCATCAGCAGCCATTGCACCATTCCCAAATCACAGAAAATGACAGGGACGTTAGAAAAATAAGAAATGAAAACTTGGCTGCAACCACAGTGAGCTTCCAAGCTCCTGTCTGTCGGTGGGTGGAAGCACCATTGACTGCGTATGTCAGTCCAACGCGTGCGACGGCACCGGTGGAAGGAATGGTTCAGGGAAAGTAAAGCCGTCTGAAACCACAGGTCTTCAGGGAGGAGGGCCCGTCAAGTGCTGAGGACACCGACACCCGCTGCTCCCAAACCCATCTCAGAGTCTCTGCAGAAACTTGAGGGAATGCAGAGGACCCAAAATCATGGACCTGGGGCCCCTACCCAGAGCTCTGACCCCTGCCTGCTTTCATGAAAAGGGGCTGGTTCTGCCTGGGAGTTTGGGGGCCTCTTTTCCTGCTGAGCAGGGTCCACACAACCCCTCCTTTGGCACCACTGGTCACTGCCATGTTGCCAGAGCTGGGCCTCAGCTGCTAGGCTCGAACTACTCCTGCAAATGACCTGGCCTACGCCCACCCTGCTGTCCACTGCAGTGTGGAGTCTCGGGCATGGGCCCGGTGGGGCGGGGATGTGTGACCTGCCCCCATGGACACCTGTGTGGGTGGTAGCTTCCCAGTGACTCCACAGGGAGAGGGTTCTAGAAGTTGGGCCTGGCTTCTCTGTTAAGCTCATCCACCTGGAATGCTCAGGGGTGACAAGACGCATGGAGAGAAGGGTCCAAGGGGTGGATGTCCTGGGACCTGCGGACTCACCTTCATAATCACGATGGCCATCATGGCAGCAGACAGGGAGAACATGATGGCCGGGAGCAGCATGACCACGGCAGCCCCCACGCTGGTCTGGAAGAACCCAATCGCTGCCAACCAACCACTGGAGGGGACAAGAGGAAGTGTGGGTGCCCGCATGCCCGACAGACTATGACCCACTGCCCTTCTATATAAAGAGCACCAACAAATCAACAAGAAAAAGGTAAAAAAATGCTCACAGAAATGGGTAGTTCACACAGGACGGCCAAGTGGCCAGTAAGCACACCATGATGCCACCCCACCACCAAGGACGTGCGAGTCAGAGCAAGGTCTCGTTTCTCTGACGTCACACCAACATTGAGTGTGTGGGAGACGGAGACATGAGTGCCATCCTGATTGTCACCCTCTGTGGAGGGCAATGGGGCCTCAGCTATGAAAAGACTTAAACGCTCGTTCCTTTACCCCACCTGGAGGTAAGTGGAAAGTATGGTGTTTTTGAGAATTTTTTTTTTTTCTAAACAGATGATAAGGCCAGGTACAGTGGCTCAAGCCTGTAATCCCAGCACTTTAGGAGGCTGAAACTGGAGGATCACTTGAGGCTGGGAATGAGACCAGTCTGGGCAACATAGTGAGATCCCATATCTACAAAAAATATTTTTTAAAAATTAGCCAGGCATGGTGGCGCCTGTAGTTCCAGCTACTTGGGGGGGCTGAGGGAGGGGGATCGCTTAAGCCTTGGATTGGAGGCTGCAGTGAGCTATGATGATACCACCGCACTCCAGCCTGAGTGACAGAAAGAGACCATCTCAAAAAACAAAAATAAAAAAAACAAAAAACAACAAAAAAAACCACAACACAAAAACCCCAAAAATTTGAAACACACTGGTTGAATGGTATGAATACTTTTGTGTGCCTGGCAGTACCAGAGAACTGTTGTTAACTGATCTAAGGTACGATGTGCATTTTTATACGTCTCAAAATCCTTCTCCTTCAGAGACCCACGTGGAAACGTCGGTTGCCTGGAGTTTGCTCCTAGCTCCCTGGCTGCAGCACAAGTGACACTTGGGAACAAGTCCAGCTGGTGTGGGACACAGGTGCTCAGTGGAGCCCTCACTGCCCCCATTGCCGGGAAAGCATCTTTACAAACTGGATCTGTAACACACTGGGAGCCTTGCCAGTTTCCCACCAGGCTCTCATTCCTCCAAGTAACACATGCCACATGTGCCACACCACAGACAAAGGCTCACCATGCACCCCATCCTGAGAAGCCAATGGCCTGGATGACGGTCAGGACAAACTGCGCTCCGAAGATGAAGAAAAACGCCATGAAGTTAAAGGAGCTGTCGGCCCTGCAGAGGGACGGAAGACATGACTGTTACCATGGCCCAGATAGGATGCTGGGGGCAGAGACAGCAGGGGTGCTGACTTTCCCAGATACAAAACCGCATGAACTCTTCAAACTGGGCTCTGACCACAAAGGGCCAAAACTACACCTCTGAGAAGACACAACAGCCCAACCCAGTCTCTGCCGTAAAAAACTTAAGAGGTTCTCAACTTCACTAGCATGGAAAAGAAAGAGAAATAATAAAGAAAAATATTTTTAAATAAATATAAGAAAAAATTTTAATAAAAAAAAAATAAAGAACTTAAGAGGTTCCCTGCATCAATGTGGCAATGGAGTGGGGGAGTCCTCACCAAACAGCTGCCAGTTCTGCAGCAGGATGGCAGGCTCTGGGGAAGGCAGGGGAGCTTCCAGCAGCTGGGGCTGCTCCCAGGCTCTCCCCAAAGCCAGCCGTGCCCCTGCCCATGTGCTCACAGCTGCCCTAGGCCAGCTCTCACCATCAGCCCCTTCCAGCAAATGCCAGCCCAGGTCTCATTCTCGTCTTCAAGGAGAGCCTCAGGTACCCTTTCTGACCTACTCTGGGAGTCTGGGACTCAGGACCATCTGGGTGGACACAACACACACCTGAGTGACAAGGGTGGCACAGGTCAGCTAGGGGCAAATGTCTGTGGCAACTCTATGCACAACTGCCAAAAGTAGGAACAGATGAGTGGATCAACACAACGTGATCCACCCCTACATGGAGTTTCATTCAGCCACAAAAATGGACACGGCTCTGACACAGGGCACAGCATGGATGGACCTTCAGGACGTTGTGCTCAGTAAGATATGTCAGACACAGAAGGACACACACTGCGTGACTCCATTTATATGAAATGTCCAGAACAGGCAGATCCACAGAGACAAGACGTGGATTCATGGATGCCGGGGGAGTGACTGCTGATGGGTATGGGCTTCCTTTAGGGTGATGGAATGTTCTGGAACTAGGTAGTAGTGATGATCACACAGCATTGTGAATACATTAATACCTTAAAAATCACTAGATTATAGTTTGAAACCACTTTAAGGAGGTGAACTATGTGGTATGTAAAGTCTTTATATCAAGTTATTAAAAAGCAGCACAGGCTGCGCACAGTGGCTCACACCTGTAATCCTAGCACTCTGAGAGGCTGAGGTAGGTGGATCGCTCAAGGTCAGGAGTTCGGAACCAGCCTGAGCAAGAGCGAGACCCCATCTCTACTAAAAATAGAAACAAAATTAATTGGCCAACTAACATATATAGAAAAAATTAGCCAGGCATGGTGGCGCATGCCTGTAGCCCCAGCTACTTGGGAGGCTGAGGCAGGAGGATCGCTTGAGCCCAGGAGTTTGAGGTTGCTGTGAGCTAGGTTGACGCCCGGCACTCTAGCCCAGGCAACAGAGTCAGACTCCGACTCAAAAAAAAAAAAAAAAGCAGCAGCACAAATCAGGTAGCATCTGGGCCTGGCGCAGGGGCCACAGTCAGCTGACCGGCTGTGAACTGCTGCCCACAAGCATAGACCAGGACAGTCTGGGCAAGCCAAGGCCCAGGTCCCCTGTGGGCAGGGAAGGGAAGCTGGGACAGAAACCAGAAGGTGCACGGTGGGTGTCTTGGCCAGATGTCAGCACCAGGTGCTTCCACAGACTGCAGCAGGTGCAGGTGCCACAGGAACTTCGGGTACTGCTGGACCCCTCACCCCCAGGGCTCTGACTTACCGGAAGGCCTTGTAGGCGGGCCGGAACCAGCATACGTAACCGCAGGGCGTGAAGAGCAGCAACCACACAAAGGCCAGGCCGAAGTTGGCTCCTGAGCCCCCGCCGATCCACCAGGCGAGGCAGGCGACCAGGTTGACCCCAAGTGTGGCACAGTAAACTGTGGGATAGGGGGATGGCTGAGCCCGGATTGGGGTGTCTGCCCCCATTCTCACCACCCATGTCATGGGTGCTGGCTGACTGCAGGGCCCAGAGTCAGGCTCAGTGTGGACAGTGGGCGCCTCTGGAGGGCTGCGCTGGCCAGGCCCCCTGCCTGCTGTACCCACCACCCCACGCTACCGAGGCAGGTGGGAAGCGCAACTTCCCTGGGCCCAGCGCTGCCCTCTGGCTCAGGACTCCTCAACCAGACCAGGGTCTTGGCGGGGTCCCGCTTCCTGCCGACCCAGCCACCTAGCAGGGGCAGCAGCTCACACATCCACAGCCGGTAGATCCTCTTCACCAGGACCTGGTGCTCGATGGGGATCTCGTCGGAGAAGTTCTGGTAGAAGCAGGGCTTCAGCGGGATGAACCGAGGCAGCGGGGGGAAATTGTTCTCCTTTTCTGCAGGACGGGGAACACCACGGACAGAGCTGATTGCGGTCTGCTCAAAGGTGCCCCCATAAGGACCCCTCATCCCGGGACATGTGCCCAGGCCACCTCATGAGGTAGAAGAATGGGAGGTCACCCTGAATGACCCGAGGGCCCGGGGTCAGCACGGGGTCATCCCACAAGGGACAGGAGGGTGGGAGGCAGAGACTGGAAGACGCTGCACTGTGGCTCTGGAGGGGGAGGAAGGGCCCCGAGCTGAGGGACACAGGCAGCCTCGACACTGGGCAAGGTGAGAGATGGGTTCTCCCTGGAGTCCCCAGGAGGGAGTGGCCCTGCCACCCCTTGATTTCAGGACTTCTACCCTCCTAGATGGTCAGATAACACATTTTGCTGTTTTAAGTCATTAGGCGTATGATGATTTCTTACAATAGCCACAGAAAACTAATACATGGACTCAGTAGGTGGAGTCCGAATGCTGTTAATATCTGTGACTCCACAGAAGGTTCTGGCAAATTCCCTGTGGCTTCCATAACATGGTCCCAACTGCCAAGGCCCTATGTACAAACAAGGTCCCGCTCACAGGTTACAGGGGTCAGGATGTGGACACGGCCTTTGGCGGGCATGCGACTGCCCATAGAGGGCAGCCCCTCAAGGTGCCATAGCTCAGTCGGCACTGCCTCAGGACGTGGTCCCTGAGCAACTAACAGGGCCAGGCAGTGAGCAAGACTCCATCCTCAGGGGCTGCCATTTGGGGGGACCAGCAGTAAATACAGGGAGTAACTGCTCAGAGCATAAGAAGGTACAAGAGCTATAAACAAAGAAGATGGCTGGAACGGGGTGCTGGGGTGGTGAGGCCAGGGCTGGGGCAGCTGCTGTGGAACCCCTGCTACCCTCGGGTCCCTGTGTCCCCTCCAAGGCCCACCTTGCTCTATTAGCGCCTCTTCCCTACTTCCCAGCGAGGGGACACCGGTAAACCCATGGCTCTTCCTCCTGGCCTTGTCGGCGTGAAGCCTGCTGTGCCAAACTGTGGTGCCCCAGGTGGCAAAAGGCAGAACCCCGGAAGAGAGGGTATGTGGGATATGCTGGAGTCTCCCTCCCTGCCTGGGATACTTCCAGGGGGAGAAGGGAAGACCCCACACTGCCGGGGCCTCCAAGGCAGGACTGACCTGACATTTCTGCTGTGGCTGACCCGGCCGGGGCTGAAGCCTGCAGCCACCTGAAAGGAAGATAGTGATAGTCAAGGAGAGGCCGGCATGGTGCTCACACCCGTGACCCCAGCACTTGAGGGGCTGAGGCAGGAGATGGCTTGAAGCCAGGAGTTCAAGATTCAAGACTGGACTGGGCAACACAGCAAGACCGCATCTCTATAAAAAATAGAAAAATTAGCTGGGCATGGTGGTGCACACTTGTAGTCCCAGCTACTCAGGAGGCTGAGGCAGGAGGATCACTCGAGCCCAGGAGTTTGATGCTGCAGTGGGCCATGATGACACTACTGCACTGCGGTCTGGGGGGACTTCCCTTATCCGAGGGATGACCCCATACTCAGCTGCAGGCCACAGCCGCATTGGGTGGGGTGCTAACCACCAGATTACCCGCTGTGATAGAAAAGCCCCTAACAGCCCAACGCACAGGGCTCTCACCAGAAACACCAGCCCAGCTCAGCGTCAGGCTCAGACGGCGCCATGGGCAATGTGTGACAGCAGTCAGTGGTCACCTCACCTGAGAGCCCGAGGGTGCCATCAGTGCTGGCAAGAAAGCCGTGCCATGGCTCCCTCCCACCCACTGCTCTCTGTCTCAAGGCTGCCCCCACCCCAACTTCTGGCTCCAGGTGCCCCCGACTGATGCGAGGCACGACTTCCCAGTTAGTGACTCAGAATCAGGTTCAAACTCATTGCTGTGTGACCTCAGCAAGTGACACCTCCTCTCTGGGCCACAGTTCTCACCCGTGAACACTGTAGGGCCAAGGACCCGATTGTAATCCAAGGCACCTAAGCCCTCCTGAGGGAACCCCTTGAGCTCATGCCACCCAGTGGCCTACCCAGGCCACCTTGGATGTGCAAAACTGAGAAGGTCCAGCTGGTTTTGGGGGGCCTGGTAGGTGGACCTGCCGCCTCAGGGAGCAGCTCAGTGCCTGCCCTGGCCAGCAGGCTCTGACCAGTCCCCAGAGCCTGGCCAGGAGCAGCAGAGAGGACCTGCCTCTCCCCAGTCCAGCAAGGAGGTGCCTGAAATGCTGAGCTCCCAAGGGCACCCCACCCTGGTGACGCCAGCTGGGCTGCCCTTTGGCTGCCCCAGGTCGCTCCCTCCTCCCTGGCCGCCTGCCCAATGCCTCTATGGTTCCCTCCCACACACACAGCAGGGTCCCTCTGGTCAGCCTGGTGGGCTGGCGCCAACCCCAATATCCTATGTGCCACACAGGCTCCTGGGCAGAACCCCTGCCTGTCTCCCCTGTCCCTCCCAGCCTGGGGGCTCAGGTCAGCCCAGACGTGGGGCTGTGCAGCACCCCAGTGGTCAGGCAATGGGCGCTTGCCAGATGGACCCACGGGCCCTGCTTGGAGTCCCCTACAAACCACTACTTCCAGGCCTAACCACCTTGTCACCGATTCCTGTCAGCCCTGGCTCCAAGGGAGCCTTCTGGTCAGCTGGCTGCAGCCAGGCTAGACCACACCCCAGTGTTGGGCGCACCTGGGCCAGGCACAACAGGTTCGCTGGAACCTTCCAAACTCCACCACTCAGGTGAGCCCGACGGCACTCAGCTCAGAGGTGCCCTCCCTTCACAACCCCCCCACTCCCCCCTCACCTCCAGCCATGGGCACACCCCATTGACCTCGTGACCCACTGCCAGGGCCCTGAGCCTCTGTCCATAGACACCTGCTTGGTTTTTGGTAGTTTATTTTCACAGGTCAGAGCTGTTTGCTCACACAAGACACAAAGGAGACACAACTGCAGCTGAGGGCTCAGGGGCCGGACCCGTCATGGTCAGTGCAGGGAACGCGCATTCCAGATAGGCAGGAGCCCAGGCACTCTCCGGGACAGGGCCGGAGGATGTGCACAGTGCAGGCGGCAAGTGTCCTTACAATCCACAGACAGGAGCACGGGCCCCATGGCGGCCTAGATGATGGCTAGCAGAGAGAATGTTCCAGAAGCAGGAAGGCATTGATTGGCCTAAGTGTCGGGGTCCAGCTGGCGGCACTGGTCCTCCAGCACGCCGCGGAACACCTGGAAGCGGTGGTTGAGGTCAGGCTGCGTGTGGATGCGGAAGCGGGTGCCCAGGGCACCGTCGGGTGAGGGCGCCCCATAGAAGACCCGCAGGATGCGGGAGTGCACCAGGGCCATGGCACACATGGCACAGGGCTCTCGGGTGACGTAGAGGTCGTAGCCAGTGCACACGTAGGGGAGGCCATCCTCGTCCTCATCCTCATCCAGCTTGCGCACAGTGCCCACCCGCAAAGCCTGCGAGGCAGCTGCTGGCGTGAAGGAGCAGGCAGGGAAGGGCCTGAAGTCATAGGTGCCCCGGCCCTGGCCTCGGGCCACGAGGTCCACACACACCATGACGGCATGCAGCAGGGGGCTGGCCGCGTGGCTGCAGTCGTGGCCCGTGGCCAGCACACGGCCTGAGGCCGGGTCCACCACCACAGCCCCCACGGCCCTCAGGCCCTGCACAGCCGCCCGCTGCGCCGCCTGCACAGCCCGCGCCATGTGGCTCTGCATGATGGCCCGCTCCTGTGCTGAGAAGAGCCTTCCGGCCAGGGCACTGGTCACCTGCTTGTCCTCATGGAAGGACGTGGGCCAGTGGGCCCGAGCCTTCTCAAACTGGCCCCTGGTCAGAGGCGGCCGGGCAGGGACAGGCACCAGGAAGGGCTGCCCCAGGCCGCGGGGGTCCACAGCCGGCCACGGGAGGAGCTCAGCCAGCGAGCGCGTGCCTGTGGCCGGATCCGCCAGGCACAGCAGCATCTCCAGTGTGTGGGGGCCGCTGGCATCCCGGCTGGGTCGCACCCGCTTGAGGTGAGGCTGGGCGGGAAGCGGGTAAACAGCCGACACCTCCTTGAGGAGGCGCGAAGTCTCGCGTTTGTCCAGGACAGGCGCGGCATAGGCCAGCACCAGCTCCACATCCCCCGACTGCTGCTCCGACAGGACAGGGAGGACTTGCCACGGCGCTGGCTCACGCTCTGGGCTCCCAGCCTTCTCGTGCTCTTGCTGCTCTGCGACGCCCCGGGCGGGCTCCATCCTTGGTGGGCTGACTGTGGGAGAGAGATCGGAGCACAGCACCATCTGTCAGTGGCAGGAGGCCGGGTCTGTCCCAATGGAACGTGGCTCCCCGAAGCTGAGCACGCTGCATCTGGGGCTTGTGCGAGCTCCAGCCCAGGTGAACTGCATCACTGGCCACTCTCTCTCGTCCTGCTAGCTCCTGGGCTGCATGGAGTTTAAACTGTCATTGGTTTTTAAAATGGAGATGTAATTCACCGTAAGATATGTCATTTTTTACTGTGCAGTTCAGTAGCTCTTAGTAAGCTTGAAGCTGTGGTGACCAACATCAAATTCCAGAACATCTTCATCACCCCCAAGATGAGACTTGTGTCACCACCCCCACACACCTCAGCCCCAGGCAACCACTGATATGCACCTCTGGAGTGGAGTCAGAGATTGGAAGCACGAGATGCAGACACGCTGTGTCTGGTTTCAAGATGAAATGGCCACATGGCAAGGAACTGAGAGGGGACCACGGCCACGAAGGCTCCAGGGACCTCAGTCTCATGGCAGCGGGGAACTGCATTCTGCCCACAGCCCGCATGAGTGAGAAGCGGATCCCTCCCTAGTCGGGCTCTGGATAAGAATGCAGCCTGGGCCCACTCCTGGCTCCCAGAGGACCCAGCCACACTACATTCTGGCCTGACCTACAGAGCCACGAGCTGACAGGCAGGGTTCCCTGGCTCTCAGCTAGATTTGGGATAGTTTGCTATGTGGCAACCAGAAAACACACATACAAGGTTTGGGGGACAAGGGGCTACTTGCCAGGACAGCATGCAGACCAGCATTAATGCTGAACATCCATCCCAGGTTGCTTCTGTGAAAGGCTCCCCAGCCTGGCCTGCAAAGACTGCACAGAAGGCCACACAGCGAAAGCCTGGCCCACAGCCCGTCCTCCCCAAGGGTCCCCACCTCCTCAGTCACAGCAGAGGGCTTGGTGGAAACAGGGCTGCTGGGATGTGGGCCCAGGCCTGAGGGCAGCCGCTAGGAGCTGAGGGAGCACCCCAGTGGGCTAGCCTGGGAACACCACCCACTGCTGATGCACCCTGCCTGCGGAGCTCTGTGCCGAGCACCTACTCCTGAGACTTCAAGGCCAGGTGTCACCAGCACGGTTACCATCCCCATCCCACAGAAGAGGAAAGTGACGTCCTGTGATCACTCTGCTGGTAAGGGCAGGGCTGGTGGGTCCCTGGGCCCCCAGGAGAGCCTACCCTCAGTGGACAGAGTACAGGGGCAGAGAGGGAGGCGCCTGGGATGGCAAGCTTGTGGGGACAGGCAGCCTTGCAGGAGGCCTCAGACAGGGACCCTGAAGCACGGCACTTCCAGCCCCCTCCGTGCTGCGCGAAAGCCACCACTCAGCTGGCCAGACACTCCCTATCAGCCTGTCTTGGCCTGACCCCAACAAGGTGGAACCTGGGCCATGGCCAGGGCTGGGACAGCCACATGGTCACACAGCCACACCACACCCCACTGAAAGAGAAGAGCTTGCAGGGCTGCGTCCCCATCTGAGGAGCTGGGCACAGGGACTGCCCTGCCTCACTAACAGGACAGGCTCTGGCCTCAACTGTGCAAACGATGAGAGCCCTCCCTGAGTCACCAAACCTGCGGGTGGTCTTGGGACCCCCCCTAGTACTGTCCACGTGACATGAAAACACCATGAGCTCATCCCTCCCCCCCCCAGGCACAGGAAAGTGGAGGAGACATTCCACCACAGCAGGGCCTGGGCCAGACAGGCCTCCAGTAAGGACCCTCAAGACACAGGCTGCGGCAGCCACTGTGGCCCAGGAAGGAAAGAAAATGGAAACATCCTTCCAGAATGCTCCCCGGCCAGCCACCCTCAGGCTCCACCTTATTTTACGCTGAAAGAGGCCCCAACCAACTCAGTTGACATCAGCACATAAAAAAGCAAGAAGTGAGAGAACACAAAGAAGGAACCCGCGTAGAAAACACTGCAGGCCGAGGCGGCCTAAGCACCCCACCCAGGGAATGCTGGAGCTGGGCCACCTGCTGTCCACTCCTCTCTGGCCCATTTCCCCATGGCATCCAGACACAGGGACACGAATGGAAGTTGCCAGGACAGGAGACCCCAAAAGGCACAGCAGGGCCCCCACCCCACAGAGACAGGCGCAGCCCCAGCCAGGCGGAAAGTACTGCCTCCACCCAGGGCCTCCTATCTGACCCTCGTCACCACCACGCCATGAGTTGGGGTTGGGAAAGGACTGCCAAGGGCCTCTCATGGCCTGTTCCTTCACGGCTCTGTCCCGTTTCCTGAGAGCTCCATGCTGGCTGAGCACAGGGCCGGACACTGACAGTTGGGGAAATAACTCAGCACAGCGCACAGGCAGCTGCACGGCCAGAATGTGTGTCCCCCCGAAATCACACTGACATCCTCACCCTCAAGACAGGGGTATTAGGAGGTGGGGCCTTTGTGAGGCATCAAGGGGTGGTGCCTCAAGATGGGCTTAGTGTCCTGGCTGCCCCTTCCTCCAGGTGAGGACACAGTGAGAATGCGCCGTGTGTGAACGAGAGAGCCCTCGCCAGACACCAGATCTGCTGTCGCCCCGATCCGGGAATTCCACCCTCCAGAACTGCAAGAAACAAATCTCTGTCATTTATAAGCCACCCAGCTTATGGTATTTTACCCAAACAAACCAAGACAACAGACACCCAAGGAGATTCTCTCCCAGGAAGGTTCACACTGCTCACTTGTATATGTAAATCACGTTTTCTTTCCTTTTCGTTACAAAAGAGATAACGTGGGCAATTTAGGGACAAACAGAAAAATTACAGATTAGTCCCAGTGTGGCGGCACACACCTGTAGTCCCAGCTATTGGGGCAGCTGATGTAGGAGGATAACTTGAGCCCAGGAGTTTGAGTCCAGCCTGGGGTCTTAGAGCAAGACCCCACCTCTAAGAAACTAAATAAATAAATAAATAAAATTTATACCTATATGGCTTGTACTGTATTTCCATCAAAGAGTGCTGCCTTAGATGATATCAGGGATGAACTATAAAATAATCTTAAAATGATTCCAAATGATCCCAAACAGCACTGCCTGCCTATAACACAAGTCCCTGCTGGCATCTTGGTATGGACCATCTCTCCTGGATGGGGCTGTTTCAATCAGCTCACAACTGTGGGCTTTTACTCTGCGTGGTGCACCACTCTTATGTTTTGGCAGCCGGGGTGCTCCCATGATGGATGACCCACATGCCCCATTTATTATTGGCAGTCGCCTTGCAGGGTACACTGAGGCTGACCCCAGCTGTGTCTGAAGACCATGACACAAGTTCGGCAAACACACGGGAGCTGAGGTACCGGCAGGATGACTGCAGAGCTGGAAAGCATGGAGGTGGCCTGTGTGCCTTGGGTGCCTGGTGCCACTGCACTGGCTGCTGTCAGGGACCCTGTGCCAGGCAGGGCCCACCAAAGCCCACTTGTGATCCTTCTGTCATGCACACCATGCCTAGAACCCCATGGCCCACATGGCCTGCCCAGACCACAAAAGCTCCACTGTCTCCAGGATAAAAGACAAACATAGCCTCGTTTGTCCTTCCAAGAGTACAACCTCTGTCTGAGGAAAAACAAAACAAGTGACACAAAGAGTAGGCTGCCATTGGGACACGGCTGGCTGGGCCTGCCAACCCCAGAGCAGTTAAAAGATTGTAGGGACGGTTGAAATGAGGTACAGCCCATTTATGTTTATTGTTTTACTACATCTTGCAGTTGGGCACCCCTCAAAGCACTCCTTCCCACCCACTGCGGCCCATGCAGGCTCTGGCTGGACCAGGAAGACGGGACCCCTGACAGCAATTCCCTTTAGCAGCCAAGGACCACCTGCCCCTTTGTGTGTGTGTGTGGTGGGGGGGCCCTCACTGTCCCCACAGAACTCATCCAGAGAAAAGGCAAGCCCTGGAACGTCTCAGGACACTGGGTGGCTGCACCCAACCAAGATAGGCTGTGGACCTGAGATCCCAGCAAGAGTGGAAAAGGCCCCCAGCCCAGGCTGGCTCTGGGGAGGGATGGGGAAATGGTGTTTATGCAGGGTGACTGCCTTGGTACAGTGCAGGCTGGGAGGCCTTATCTAATCCCACAGATAAGGAGGGCAAACCAAAGTCTGAGCTGAGACCTGGGTGTGACTGACCAGGAAACACACCTAAGCTCTGTGAAATGGGAATTCAGTCACCACCAACGGCATAAAATGAGAAAACCCATGAAAGGCCCCATGCTGTCCTGGGGCTTGGGACAGCCCCACGGGGGACACGGTGGCATGACCATCTGAGGCAGAGCCCAGGGACCTAGAGCCGGGCCTGAAAGGGGAGGAACTGATGGAGGAACAAGTGGCGCTCAGCCTCAGGTCGTGGCCAGAGTGTGGGCGGGCATCTGTTTCAATCCCTGTTTCCCAGACTCAGCGCCCCTGAACGGAGGTGCCCAAAATTTGCGTGGGTAACGGGCTCCCCCAGTGGGCAGGTAAGGGAGGGGTTGCTGATCATGAATTTCAGAGAAGCGGGCAGATTTTCAGTGTAAGTATATCCCATGCAACCTCTGAGATATACTTACACTAAAAAAGTATTATTCGTTCTTTAAACGGAATTCGAATTTAACGGGCGTCTGCGTTTATATTAGCTGAACCAGGCCGCCCTACAAGAGGACCCTCTACGAGAAAGTCGGGGGACCTCGCCCCCCCTGAGAAGAGTGTGGGGGAAAACCGGGCCAGCGTAATAAAAAAGCCTTAAAAACTCACACTTGCAGTAACAACTAGGAACGACGGTCAATTTCTAGGATGCAGAGAGAGACTGGGGGTCGTTCGCCCCTAAAGGCAAACGTGAGGCGAGAAGACGACAGACCGGCAGCCCGGAGGCAGGGGACTGGCTGCCCTGACACGGGCGGCCGCACCGGAAGCAGCTGGGGCGCACGGGGCCACACGCCCGGCTCGCAGGGGCGTGCGCACGCGCACACAGGCGCGGAGCCCGGGGAGCGGGGTCCGGAGGACCGGCCGTGCCCGCGCGCACGCGTACTCGCTCTGCCGCCTCGCGCCCCCGCCTGCTCCCGGCGCGCACGAGCCAGGCGCGGCCCTGCCCCACCCCTCGCCCCCTACTCGGCCGGAGTCTCTCCGCCACTGCCCAGTCCCCAGCGCCGCCCCTACGCCCCCTCGGTGGTAGCCCGAGCCGGGAGAGATCCAGGGCCGCGGCCGCGCACTTACCTGAGGGAGCCGGTCGCAACGGCTGCGCTTCTCCAAGTCTTAGCAACCGCCCGCCCCGCCTCCAGCCTGGCGCAGCGGGGCACGACGGGAGCGTAGTTCCGGGGGCGGTGATAACGCCGGACGGCAGCAGGGCCGGGACTACAATCCCCACAAGGCCGCTCGCGCCGCCTTCTGGCTCCGCTGTCCTAGAAGCTGAACTCACGTGATGAGGCGCAGGGCCCGGCCGCGCCGCGTGGGGGCGAGCACGGAATTACGAGTTCGAGACCCATCGAGGGGCCATAGGACACTAGGAACCTGGACGTCCTTTGGGGAAATCAGCAGACTGGGGAGACTGAGGCAGGAGGAGACACAACATTCGTCTGCAGTCACTCCCCGAGGCCTGTTGGCAGAGACCTGGATGGGCTGGGTTCTGAGTCTACCCTTCACTGTCCCGAGGGTGACCACTGTCTGGGGTCTCGGTTATTCCAGGCCTCAGTTTTCTCCTCTCTACAAGAGGCGAAGGGGATCTGTTGACTGTCCTGGACAAAACGTGAACATTTTAGAAGCAGTTTCAGCTACTCCTTCCAGCTGAACAAGCTTAACCCAGCAGTTCTCAATGGGGGAAATTTGTTGCCCGTCTCCCACCAATTTGGCAGTGTCTGGGGACATCCGTGGTTGTCACTGCTGGGGGTGCTCCTGGCATGGTGTGTGGAGGCAGGGACGCTGCTCATCACCTGCAGTGCCCAGGACAGTTCCACCCCAGAGAATGAGCCTACCCCAACATCCACAGTGCAGAGGGAAAGAGACTCTGGTTCAGCCCATTGCTCAATTAAGGAGGTAAATTCAGGTCTAAAAGGGCCCTAATGGGAAAATACAATCGTTACTTTTCCGTTTTTCTCCCTGTGACCTCGGGTAAGTCACTGCTCCCCTGCTGCAAGAACCAAGGAATTCCCAGCCAAGGTCATGAAGTGTCCTCCCTGGGACAGGGTGGCCAGAGGGGAAAGTGTCTTCCTAGGGTCTAGGTCCAGCCTCACAGGACTCTGAGAGTGGAGCCCCAAGTGTTTCAGCTCTTGGTCTCTAAGTGTTTTCTGGTTTCCTGACATATTCCCGGGTAAAACAACACTCCAGGAAGCTATAGTCGCTTTTTTTCGTTTTCTTTTTCTCTTTCTTTTTTTTTTTTTTTTTTTTTTGAGACAGAGTCTCGCTTGTTGACCAGGCTAGAGTGAGTGCCGTGGCGTCAGCCTAGCTCACAGCAACCTCAAACTCCCGGGCTCAAGCAATCCTTCTGCCTCAGCCTCCCGAGTAGCTGGGACTACAGGCATGTGCCACCATGCCCGGCTAATTTTCTATATACATTAGTTGGCCAATTAATTTCTTTCTATTTATAGTAGAGACGGGGTCTTGCTCTTGCTCAGGCTGGTTTCCAACTCCTGACCTCGAGCAATCCGCCCGCCTCAGCCTCCCAGAGAGGTAGGATTACAGGCGTGAGCCACCGCGCCCGGCTTTTTTTCTCTTTCTTTTTGTTTTTTCTTTTGAGACACAGTCTCAGTCTGGCATCCCTGGTAGTGCAGTGACATCATTTTAGCTCAGCACAACCTCCAACTCCTCTTGAGTAGCTGGACTACAGGCGCCACCTCGTCCGGCCAATTTCTCTACTTTTATTATTTATTTATTTTGAGACAGAGTCTCACTCTGTTGCCCAGGCTAGAGTGCTGTGGTGTCAGCATAGGTCACAGCAACCTCAAACTCCTGGACTCAAGCAATTCTTCTGTCTTAGCCTCCTACAGGCATGCGCCATGCCCAGCTAATTTTTCTATATATTTTTAGTTGGCCAATTAATTTCTTTCTATTTTTTGTAGAGACAGGTTCTCGGTCTTCCTCTCTCTTGCTCAGGCTGGTTTCAAACTCCTGACCTTGAACGATCCTCCCGCCTCGGCCTCCCAGAGTGCTAGGATTACAAGCGTGAGCCACTGTGCCCAGCCAGATTTCTCTACTTTTAGTAGAGACGAGTTCTCACTCTTGCTCAGACTGGTCTTGAACTCCTGAGCTCAAGCAATCATCCCACCTTGGCCTCCCAGAGTGCTGGGACTACAGGCATGAGCCACCACGCCCGGCCTTCTTTTTTCTTTTCTAAATAAAAACTCAGCTTCACATGAGCTTTTCTTGTTTTTTTATTGTTTTTTTGTTTTTTTTGAGACAGAGTCTCGCTTTCTTGCCTAGGCTAGAATGAGTGCCGTGGCGTCAGCCTAGTTCACAGCAACCTCAAATACCTGGGCTCAAGAGATCCTCCTGCCTCAGCCTCCCGAGTAGCTGGGACTACAGGCATGAGCCACCATGCCCGGCTGATTTTTATATATATATATATATTAGTTGGCCAATTAATTTCTTTCTATTTTTATGGTAGAGATGGGGTCTCGTTCAGGCTGGTTTTGAACTCCTGACCTTGAGCAATCCGCCTGCCTCGGCCTCCCAGAGTGCTAGGATTACAGGCGTGAGCCACCGCGCCAGGCCTTGGTTTTTTGTTTTTTGGTTTTTTTTACCTTAAATCCACATCTCTTGATCCCTGACATCTCACTCAAAGAAGCAGAGAGCTTCTGTTAAAAAAAAAAGAAGAAGAAGGCCTTTATTTGGCAAATCATTAAATGCAAAGCCTAGATTTTCTGCATCTAAAGAAGAAATGAATCCTTCAATATCTTTACTGCATATTTTAATTTCTCAAAATACAAAAAGACATATAGTTGGGAGCTACTTGGGAGGTTGAGAAAGGAGGATTGCTTGAGCCCAGGAGTTTGAAGCCCACCTGGACAACATAGCAAGACCTCTCTCATCTCTAAAAAAGAAAAAAATATGACCAAAGAGAAGAAGGGCTCCACTATCAGATCCCCTGCTTACACCCACATAGCTGGGGCCAAAGTCAGCTTCCCTGGCGCCACTTTGTGCGGTGTGTCTGTGTGGTGCATCAGCCTGTTGACTTTCTCACACCTCTACAGGCAGTTTGATGGGCCCAGCTGTTTCCCACTTCTGTGCTGACCTCAGCTCAGGGTCTTCCTAGGAATAGTCTGGAAGGACTTCCTTCAACTGCCCCAGGAACACTGAGCAAAGTCCGATAGATCCTGACAAGGAAGAGAAAGAGAAAGTTGCTGTCTCCTTTGTCCTATAACCCCTTGGGGGTTATAGGACACTTTGCTGTACCCGTTGGCTATGTTGACAAATGAATCCTGTTTGCCTGCTCAGAGTCAGAGAGGACTCCATGCCCATGTGACACACACGTGCCTGCACACACACAGCAGTCACCGCGTATGGCAGCGGAAAACATTAATTTCAAGCTTGGAAAAGCTCCAAAACCCAACCTCTTTGCTCATAGCCCTTTAACTCTTATTTGCACACAATTCTAGTCCTTCTGTTTCTCTGCTTGCCCAGGTCCCAGAGGCTGAGGCGAATGACAATAATTAATGATGATTAATATTTCAGTCCCATAATCTGGCCCAGGGCGCGTACTCTGTGTGTGTACATGGACCATGTTACTGCTGCTATCATCTTGGCAAGGCAAATGAGATCTCCCATGCTGGACCCCCAGGAGCCCCACACCTGCCTCCCAGAACCTGCAAGTGTCAAGCGGGCAATATTGCCACCTACCGACCAAGGGCAGCCTCGCCCCAGTCCGAAGCTACCTATGGGCCGGATGCTAGAAGCAGCTGCTGTTATTTAAGCAATTCCCAGAATGTCCACACCCACTGGTTCCTGGCTCCACACAAGCTCCACCAGAGAGGATATGGATTGCACCCCAAATGTCAGCAGTGCCGAAGTTAAAAAGCCCTGTGCTGATTATTTGGGGGACAAAAATTAAGTTAGGTCCCTGCCAATCCTCCCCCAGGACCCCATTCCTGGCAAGTCAGGACAGAGCTGCCAGAAAAAGATTCAGGCTCAGGACTGGACACTGCCTAGGCTTGTTTTTCCTAATTTTCCAGCTTCCCAGATCTCTGGCCCCCAGTGCTGGGTACTCAGCTGCCTGGGTCTCCCTGGGGCTGTCACGCGGTGACGGAGGAGGATTGGCCTGGGAGCCTCAAGCCTGTCTCCATAACGTGGAGCTACAGATGAGAGCCCCTGGGAGGGAGAGGGGCTGAGGCTGCCTGCAGGGTAGAAGAGCGTTTTGCAACAGGGTGCAGGCCTGTAAGGGCAAAGTTCTCCAGCTAACTCTCACTTCCACCTCCAGGCTCAGCATTGTTGGTCTCTGCAATCTTTGCTGCCTTTGTGCCTGGCTCCTCTGCAGAAGGGCTGGTCCTAACCACTCTCTCTCTGAGATTCCCTGGTTGTCTTCTCCCTCATTCCTTATCAGATCTCTTTTTTCATTATGTAAGGACCCCTCCCTACCGTTGTGAGCTGAGCCAGCAGGCACCAGGGTGTGGATAGACATGCACTGAAATCAGCCACAAGATTTAAGGGATGCCCCACAATCTCAGCCACTTTGATTAATAATATTTATATTTTAATGCAATAAAATGAATGGCCCTGATTCCAGTGACTCATGCTGTAATCCCAGCACTCTGGGAGGCTGAGGCAAAAGGATCTCTCTCTTTTTTTTTTGAGACAGCATCTCACTCTGTTTTCGGGCTAGAGTGCTGTGGCATTAGCCTAGCTCACAGAAACCTCAAACTCCTGGGCTCAAGCAATCCATCTGCCTCTACCTCCCGAGAGCTGGGACTACAGGCATACGCCACCACCATGCCCAGCTAATTTTTTCTGTATATATTTTTAGT